TATGCAAGTTGTCATGTGAAAGTCCAGTTTTAAAAGTAACTTGAGGGCAAAATGGGGACACACTACACACTACACAATAAATATTACTAGAAAAAGAAAAAAACTTTTGGTGGACAAAAATATACCTATTTCCAACTTGCAAACTTAGGTAACTCAGTGGAAGTAAACTGCTCTTCCTGAGTCTTCAGGATTTCCTTCAAACTGGCAGAAAACAAATACCCATTTCTACCTTGAAGGTCTGCACACTGTTGGGTGTTCTTTCTACCATCTCATATTTTCTTATATGTGGCTAAGTAGAATTCTATAGCTATTTCAATTTTACTTTTTTCGTTTATATTCTGAATGTCATGGCTTTCTCATATACCCCCAGGACCACCAACCCAGGGAAGGCACCGTCCACAGTGGGCTGGGTCTTCTCCCATCAATCACTAATTAATCATACAGTTGGATCTTAGGCAGACATTTTCTCAGTTGAAGTTCTAACCTTTCAGATATCTCTAGCTTGTGTCCAGTTGACACAAAGCATTAAATGATTCCTCCTCTCTGGATTGTATTGCTCTCTGCAGCAAACAAGAAAAGTACAAGTATCTTCCCTGTCCTTTCTTGTTTGTTGTTGTTGTTGTTGTTGGGGTTTGAACCTAACCCCAGAGTTAAACACCAATGCAGTACATCACAACCCTACTCCCTATTTTTTTGAAATTGCCACTATCTGTCTCTTCCTACCCAGGATTCTCAAATGAACCTTCCACAGTCAGCCTTCTTCACTTACAGGAGAGTCCTCTCAACACTCACTGGGCTCTCCTTTAAAACGAGGTCATGGTGGTTTGTGCCTTTAATCCCATCATTGAGGAGGCACAGCAGGTGGATCTCTGAGTTCAAAGTCAGCGTGGTCTACATAGTGAATTCCAGGACAGCTAGAGTTACACAGAGAAGTCCTGTCTTGAAAAATTAAAAAAATGAGGCCATGTTGACATGAGTTCAAGATTATTTCCCCCCCTTTGAAAATGTAGGCTTTTAATCCCTACTTTTCATGTCAACATTTGGTGATATTTGGTTTATACTCTAACAAATAAAGCTTGCCTGAAGATCAGGGGAGATCAGCTAGCCACTAGTTAACCATAGAGGTCTGGAGGTCTGCACAGACAGACAGGAAGTGCGATGGCTAGATGGAGAGAAAAAATGACAAAGTGGGGGCTCAGTCTCTTTTTGTCAGGGAAGATGAGTAGGTAAGGTGACCATGGGTTTGCTCCTTCATCCCTCTGATCTCTCAGCATTTCCCCTTACATCTGACTCCTGGTTTTTATTATTAAGATGTATTAGAACTCATGTTACATCTACATGTCCTTATGTTCACCTTTCATTTCTGAGGGAAAAAGTCTGCTCTGGTGGAAAAAGCCATCCACTTCTAGCTGGGAAACTGTACACATCAAAACCAACCAACTCAACTTGAATAGCTGAGAAAAAGATACCTTTTGGGTAAAAGAAGCCACTTCCTGGGGCCACTGCAGCCTCTAGCAAGGCTAGGTGAGCATGGAGTTGGACCAGCCCAGTGTCCTCTGTAGGCTTAGGCAGTGCAGGCAACCCGCACCACAGCAATGTTCCTGTCAGCTCCAAGCTTTCTCCCCATATCCACCAACAGTCCTGCCCTGAATCCCTCAGGGCACAGTGTCTATAATGCATGAAACCTCCAGAGCATGGCTTTTTGTGAGTGGTGTGGGCTCTCTTCCCAGTTCCTGCTTCTCTGGCACTATACACTCCATCGGGTCCTAATATGTAACTGCAGCTTTGTCCTTCCTTGTACCAAAGCTTTGTCAGGCCCACAGGGGCCTTTGTGCTGTGTAAAAGCAAAGAGTACCACCACTATTTTGGATATGCCTTCTCTACTCAGGCTTCAGATGCAACCCTGAAGTCTGACAGGGGCCAGGTGAACATACAGCCTGCCTCAAGGCACCCTTTTCTTATTCCTGCACAGCTCTGCAGAGGACATGGTAACTCCTTCCACAGACCCCCTCCTTCCTTCCTCTCCTAACATCTTGGGACCTGAAGGAATTTCATGACCAGCAAATTAAATAAAATTCTCAAATGCTGAATTTTTCTGAATTAGACAATTGGGTGGGGAGTGTAGCTAAGGGTTTTCTAGAATGCATTATTTCTATTCCAAAGAGTGGGGGTAGCTTCCTGATGCCTGGGAAGGGATGAGTGATCTCTCTTGCTCATTGGGAAGACAAAAGTGTCTACCACAGAGCCGAGCAATGCCAGACTGTTCTGACAGGTTGTTTTCACTGTTTCCGAATCCCAGAAACTGGCAACCCATCAGAGGTAGCCAAAGAACATACAGAGACCTGTCTATCTACACTTTCACTCTTGAGCATGAAACCGAAACTAATACATTCCAGCCAGTTTATAACTAGGCTTTTTAATTCTTTCAGAGAACCCCAAAGTATTACTAACTTTATTGATTAAACAGCCCCAAATTTCTAATGTAACACATACACATCACCCAATCTTACTTTTGCTTTGTGGTGTTTGGGGTTGTGCATGGCAGGAAAGGGTCCCAGTATAGAGATGCCTTCATAGCCCTACTCCATGTCTGTGATGGTTGGTATCAACCTTACAGAATCTAGAGTTATCTCAAAGATGGGTCTCTGGGTATGTCTGTGAGGCATTATCTTGACTACATTAATTGATTCGGGACAACCTGTGTTAATTGTGGGTGGAGTCACTTTGTGGCCAGGGGATCTTGAACTGTATAAAATGAAAAAAATGAGCTGAGCGGTGACCTGCTCTTGACTGCTCTTTCTGTCTCTTGACTAAGATGGGAATCAATTAGCTCCTCCAATTCCTGACTTCCCTGCCAGGGTGGACTGTAACGGGGAACTAAAATCCTTTCTCACTTAGGTTGCTCTTGTTAGATTTTCACAACAGAAAAGTAACTAAGTTAGTTCCTCACAAGTGCTAAATAAATACATGTATTTGTTGCTAATCGGATTTTATGTTTTTGGAGTGATGTGAATAAACTCAGGAGTGTCAAACCCCAGGGTTTTGGGAGAGAAAACAAAATAATGTTTTTCCTAAGATGACATTTTTGCATGTCAGCATCAAAATAGTCTGATACAAAGAAATTGCAGAAACAGCTAAACTCCTTGTATTTACTAACTTTTTAAATTTTCTTTTTGATGCTTAAATATACAAGCCTTTACAAATTTGAAATAGATCAATTTTCTTACTAATCTGAATAAACACTCATCCTCACAAGTGATAACGATGCTTACTAAAATGCAAGACTTTGAAGAAAAAATGTTTCTAAACTGCATACTTCATGGACAAATTTCTATTCAAAACCAAGTACCAAGTGTGTATCTATTTTTCTAGGTCCTTGTGTGAAAATATGGCATAGTGGGAAAGTGCATACAAAATGTGAGTTTTTATGAATTCAGTTCTATACAATCATTAATCAGTCACTTGGGTATGGAACAAAGCCAGAAGTGACTCCCTTTGTGACTTCCCCCTTGGGGAATCTGGGCATGGTCTATTTTTTTTTTTTTTTTTTTTTTTTTTTTTATTCTCTGTCTGAAACAGACAGAGGTATGCAGGGAAACCTTCCTTTACAAGTAAAACTCCTTGTTCTTACAAAGCAAGTTTAGGGAGGAAAACAGGAAAGCAGCAGATGGCTCCTGGCTTGATGTTTGCTTATCTTACTGCATATTTTGGATTTTATCCAGGTTAACCAGGGGATAGGTACACACAGCCCTGTATTTAGGCTGCTGGCTCACACACATTTCAATGACTAAAAGTATATAAGTAGTAAGCAGTTCTGAAACATGTCTTTTTTATTTAATTATTATTATTAGTTTAAGGGACTTTACAATATAACAATACACCACAGATGGTTCAGAGCCAAACAAAGGCTGTTTAGTTATTTATCTTGGATTTGCTCCTTTTAGGAGGCAAGATACCTAGCCCTGTGGACTCTTGAGGTTATTTTTAATTAAAATCCCTACAAATTAGGAAATGTCACATATAATGCTGCTAATGGGTGTGTGTGTGTGTTATGAAGAAAAACTTCTGTATGTGTGCCTCCTTCCTCTGACACCCTGGATTGTGTGAGAATTCATATAAGGTCATTTAGCTAAACAATTCAACCTCTGCTCACGTTTAGGACAATATTTAACTGTTTTATTCTTCCACGCAAATAAGAGGGAAAATTTACACTTGCTTAGTGCTAATTTTTGAAAACACCCTCCGCCTCTCAATCCTACCATTTGCCCGTGTCCCACGTGAATAAAAGGATTCAGCTCAGAAGGGCAGGCCTTGCTGCCATTGTATTTTTTTCTAATTAAAATGCAGAGTATTAAACACAGTTGAGTACGTCCATGCACACATGACACGCTGTCATCACATACAGGAAACAAAGCTCAAGAGCACGCAGTGAAGGCTCATTTCATAACATCATTAAGGTTCATTGTGCCCACACTTGTGAAAGGCTTTGTCAAAGCAGATAATAATGTCCTGTCATGCTGGGCAAACACGCTCATGTGAGTGAAGCCATCTTTTTGCTTCTGTTTTAGTGAGGGAACTTAGCTGCATTCTTACTGTACAGGCTCAGGGCTAAAGCGAAGGGGGCGGCAGGTTCTTATTTCTGTAAACTGTTATAAAAAGTTACAGCATGAAGGAGTTAAGTGAACAACAATATTTGAGTCATGGGTGGGAGTATCCAGGGGAAGAGTCATTGAGCATAGTGACTGTACTAAAGCAGAAGGTGTATTTGGGAGCATGAAGGTGGGTGGGATTTAGGGGGGATCAGAAGTTTAATTTGGAATGAGTCAAAAGCAGGCATAGTCTTCTCTTCCTAAAGAAGCTTTGATATTTACATTCTAATCTGGGGGGGGAGGGGAAGCTCATTTTTAAAAAGCCTTTTATTCCCTGCTGAGTGAAGATGACGTTGGAGACAGATAGACTTTACACTCTGGCTCCCTGAGTAGAAGAACCGCGTTATTTGGGAGAGAGATGAGGAGTTTTGCTTCATCATAGTCGATATTTTTCTTTACCGTTTTCATTGATTACGCATATGTGCTGAAACAATAGAGGGTGAAAAGGCATTAGGATTTTATTTTTAGTTTAAAAATACATATATAATGTGTTAGATGCCTTTCTGACATTTTCAGCAAGTGTGTTTTGTGGTCCCCTATAGTGTGAATCAGACCTGCCCTAGGACTTGCTGTCCCAAAGGTCATTGGCTAAATGGATCCAAATCCCACAACAGTACCCCTTTCCCTCATCAGCATCAGTTTCATAACAAAACACGAGACACAAAAAGTGTGATTTGGTAACAGCAGTATGATATCTTGTGATTGGGTACTGTTCATCTAAACACATGTATGTTTCTATGAATGTACAAAATCTAGAGACCCAATCAGTGTTTGACAAGAGGTGATTTAGCTTTGAGCCCTAGTCAGGATTTGGTTTCAGGCTCCCCAAAAGTAGATATATTGAGGCCACAGTAATGGTTGCCCTTGGCGGAGACAGTTTTCCATTGGTGAAATGACAACTGCTTGATTGAAAGGAGAAAAAAAAAAAAAAAAAAAAAAGTACTGTAAAACACAATCTATACCTGTGGGTCCTCTTTTGGATAGCAAGAAATATGTTAGGACCATGGAAAAGGCTGAGCAGTGAAGCCACAGGAAAAGGGGCAGCCTTAGAGACTACAGCCACCTGCATTAAGGATACACTAGGCATTGCTGCTAGAGAGCTTACATATCCCAAACCCTTGGTCTTGGGGACATTTGTTTTTTAATTTCTAATAGTGAGACATTGGTTGGTCACTTTCGGTAAGATGTCCTCTTCCAGATCACTTGGGGTGGATCAGGGTCATACCCATGGGTACCATGCTGGAGAGTCTGTTTCTGTGTGCTGAGAAAACTTCTTCCAAAGTCACTGTAATCCTAACAGTTATCACACACAGACATGAAATGGCGTATAGAATATTGGCACCTTGTGGTGACTGGCAGGGCATTGTCAATGACTATAGAGGAAAAACAGCTTAGGGCCATTGTTCTGCTTTCCTTTTCTCACTACAAAATACAGATAAGCATGACATGTTTCTGTCAGCCTGATACCCACCTTGTAGGGTACTGTAAGGATTGGAAGAATTCTCTGTATCTCCTAAAGTGTTCCCATCACAAAGTACACCTACAATTTACCACTGTTTAGTAAGCTGTTAAATTGATGCTAGTATTAAGGTCTTAGGCAAAGAGAATTAGGGTTTTGTATGCAACACTTACATTCAGGTCTCTGAAGTATTCATTGTAGTCTAAGGCATAGCCCACCACAAAGACATCTGGGATCTCAAATCCAGCATCTTAGAAGAAAGGGACAAGGAAGAAAGTTTAGAGCACGTAAGCATACTATTGTCATATGCTGCTGAGGTACTTAAATGGTAAAGAGAAGTGAGGAATAGTGTGCAGGACAAACCCAGTGAGTGTCTTGACCAGGATGATGTCTTGGGGACACAAGGGAAGCAAGCAAGCATAGATGAGCAATGGACCTGTATGTAGTGCACAAAGTTTGAGGAAGGGTTCCCGGGGTCCAGTGGATGACGAGGTGTGTGTATGTTAGTTAGCCATGTGGTTCTGTTCACAGTGAGTGTATGTAATGTCATAATGCCTAAGGAGATGTTCTTAAAAGCACAAAGGACCCTCCAAACAGAAAGCATCATGGCACTGCCATAAATAATTGGTGTGCCTGCTGCAACAACCAGGAAGCAATTCTCCCACTGTGTTACTGTCCTCAGCTGGTCGAAGGACTGGAAAGCAAAACCTGGGAGACAAGATGAAAGGAAAAGGCTTGTTTGGCTTGAAGGAGAGAATGCAGAGGGTTATTTCTATGCTGATCAGTGCAGCCACAATGCAGGGTTCCTAAGTAGCTCTTTATGTTGAGAGGAAAATGATGTTTATTAAGAAAGAGACAATAGGGGTCTGGAGAGATGGTTCAGTGGCTAAGAGCACTGGCTGCTCTTCCAGAGGACTCTGGTTCATTTTCCAGCACCCACATGGGAGCTCACAGTTCCAGGAGATCTGACACCTTCACACCAATGAACATAAAAATAAGGTTAAATAAATTATTTTTTTTCTTTTTTTTTCTTTAATTTTATATAACAAAGTCCAATTAAATGAAAACAAACATTTATACACAATATTTGGGAATTTGGGCGTCGTTCTTTCCAAACTACTTCCTGCTGGTAAGGGGCGCTGTCTTGGGGGATTCGAAGAAGATTCAGATATCCTAGCTGTAGTCTGTAGGGCTGTTTTGTCCAGCTGTTTGGAATGTAGGATCAGCTTGTACTCTGTTTCAGGCGGTCTGGTGTGATCAAACCACATTAGTCTGGAAGGAATCCACATCTTTTCATTTTCTGTGGAAACAAAAATAGAAATACTTTTCCCCAGTAACTTGTTCTTCAACTTAAATTTTGGAGTCAAAGCGTTTTTTTTTTTTTTTTTTTTTTTTTATTATTTTACATGTCGATCCCAGTTCCCTCTCCCTCCCTCCCTCCCCCTCCAGCCCTCCCTCCCTCCTTCCCTCCCTTTTGCCCTCTCTACCCTCTCCCATGCACTCTAAACACCCTCCCCTTCCAACCCCCCACCACAATACCATATGTAGGGGAATGCCATCCAGTTGGGGTCATGTAGATCTGACAGGATCTGTGAAGTAGGGACTAGGGCTTCTCTCCTATCTCTAGAATAAGGCAGTTATCCCTCCATGGGGGATATGTTTGCAAAGTCCTTTTGTGCACCAGGGATACATCCTGGCTCCACTGTCTGAGGTCTCTTAGACTGCTCAGACCTTCTGGCTGAGACCCATATTCAGGGGGGGTCCGAGTCAGTCCCCTGTTGGCTTCCCAGCTATCAGTCTAGTGGCCCTTAGCTCCTCCTTGTTCAGGTAAGCTGTCTCTATGTACTTCTACCGCATGGTCTTGTCCTCTCCATCTGCTTCTGGGTTAAATAAATTATTTTTTAAAAAGGAAAAGAAACAGACAACAATTCCCTCCCAGAGATCTTCATACAGGATAAGTGTGTGTGGCCCAGTAGTTTTCACACTTGCTTCAATATGTTGGAATCTTATACATTCATTTACTATAATACAATAGAAGAGAGACATGCATGCCTAGTTATAGGAAACTGCCCTAAGGTACAGCCTGTGGACTAGGAGCATAGACAGTGATCTTCATGGTCATGGTCATTTTTGCTGTTGTTGTTTTCTCTGGAGACATTGTTTCTCTATGTAGACCTCGGCTGTTCTGGAACTCCCCTCAGTAGGTCAGGCTGGCTAGCCTCCAGTTTAGGCTGGCCTGTCTCTACCTCCTAAATGCTGGGATTAAGGGCCTGCACCACCACTGCCCAGCCCATCATTTTTATCTCTATGACCCAATATGTCTTCAATTTACAGGAAGTGCTAGAAACAAAGGATCGGTTTTCTAGGGGCTTGAGTTATGAGTTCACTAAACAGGTAGACTGTTTGATTCCTTGAACTTGCTGTTTCTAGGAAAAATGATCCAAGAACTGAGTGGTGAATGTCTGTAATCTCAGTACTTGGGAGCAGAGCTGGGAGGCATTTAAATTTGATGCTAGGCGGAGCTACACAGACAGACCCTGTCTAAACAAAGGGAAACAAATTCCAAGAGGAGAAGCAAGGGCAGAAGAAGAGACATTAGCATTTGAGCACATAACAAAGAGTCAAAGACCTCAAAAATGCTGTCTCACCATTCCAGAAAGGAGAACCGGATTCTGAGCTAGCTAACACAAGGGAATTAGAGTTCAGGAAACCCTACTTGAACAACAATGGACTTTTCAGTGGGTAATTCCCCACAACACAACAAGTGTGGCAAGTCAGACTGTGAGAACTGAAGCCCAAAGCCATGTAGAAGGTCGAATACTGTGGTGTTATGGAGTAAGAAACTGATGAGTCAGGGGCTGTCAGGAATCAGAGGAGCCCATCACTCACTGATGAGTGCAGCTCCTGCAGTGTTTGTAAATGTCATGACCTAAAGCAGACTGCCTGGGCTCATTGCTGGCCCTCTTCATGTGCTTATATGACCCTGGAAAGCTATTTAAGCTTGTTGTGGTTGTGTTCCATTTCTCCATCTATTAAATGGGCATAACAATAGCAGCTGTTAGTGAAGATTAAATTAATTAGCCCTGTATGCCAGTAAGAACCTGGTCTGGCACATCATAGCTTCTTACATTGTTAGTTGCTGGTATGTAAAAGTGTGTGTGTGTGTGTGTGTGTGTGTGTGTGTGTGTGTGTGTGTGTGTGTGCAGGTGGCTGTGGAGCCCAGACACATCTGATCCCTCATGAAAATGGAGTGACAAGTGGCTGTGAGTTGCCTCATATAGATGCTGGAAGAATCCGAATCCCCTGCAAGAGCAGTATGTTTTTAACTCCTGGGCCATCTCCCCAGCCCTATATTTTCAATGTCAATTAATGTAATTTCCTCACAAAATTTCTGCTTAATAACCTCACATAATGATAGTGACATACAGACTAGACCCTAAGGTCAGCAACCAACAGGAAAGGGTCATGGGCTCTACAAACCAGATCCCAAGGCCAGCAACCAACAAGAACAGGCCATGGGCAATACAGACCAGAAGCCAAGGCAAGAAACCAAGAGAAACAGGCCATGGCTCTATAGAACAGATCCCAAGACCAGCAATCAACAGCAACAGGCCATTGGATCTATCTGTCCAGAGGTGACTTGGTGTGCAGTTGGGAACCCAGCAGAGGAGATGTGTGTTAGAATGAAGAGACCCTGGCTCATGACCCCTCCATACTAGTCCTCTTTGTCTAATGTTTTTTCAGCTTTTTAATGAGAATTGGAGCCAAATTATCCTAGGGACTTCAGAGCAAACACAAATTAGAGAAACTTAGTTGACATCTGTTTTAAGCAAGTTAAAAAAAAATCACCTCTTATTTAGAATAATACACAATTCAGTGGTTTGGTTTTTTTGTCCCTCCTGGTAACAGAGCCAATCTTATTGTGAGGAGGACAGCAAGGTACACTGGAAAAGGAAAGTCTCCCCAGCGCACATGTGTGAAGTCAAGTGTGAAGATGCCTCCTGAGAGTTCTGCTTGCTCATGTGGTGTGTTCCTGATTTTTTGTTGGAGGGAGCAGGGAGATGCCCGTTAATATGCAGGGTCTGGAAGCATGTAGAATAATCCTTCTAATAATGCTTTGTAGCACCTCTTTGATTGGTGCAAATAGCTGCCAGTCAGAGATCCTGAATGTCTGAATTGGTCTTAGGGGAGTAAGTTTGTTTCTACCCTAAAACTGATCAATTGCATAAAATGTAACAGTAGAAGTATCCAATGGATCCAATGTGCCAGAGTATTGTGGAGAAGACCTGTAATCCAGTACTCAGGAAGCTGGAAGAGAAGGATAGATGCCTATTAGAGGCCAGCCTGGGTTACATAGTTGAATTGTATAGTATTCTGAACTGAATTACATACCAGTGAGGTTCTTTAAAATGCAAAAAAAAAAAGGAAAAAAATCTAAAAAATCTAATATACAGAATGGAGTTGTTGTGAAAGATGCAAACCTAATATGTGGACTCTCAAGACAAGGTGGTGGAGACAAAGAATTTGCAAGGAGGACTATTAGTCACACAGGGAATGCCAAAATAACACACTAGCACCAGAAAACCACGCTAAACCCTGGAACACTTACAGTCAGGTCTGAAGCTGTCACTTCTGGCGGTTCTCTTCACCAACAAACTGCCATTAAAAAATAATAATAATAATAATAATAACTTGAACTACTCCAATAAATTGGCATGTGAATTGCGAAGAGAATTAAATACTGTTGAATGTGTACTCCCCCCAGGCCTGTGGCGCAATGCGTCATCCTGGCCTGTTTTCACTCCTGCCTTTGCAGCTGCAGCATGACATCGATGTACTCGATACAAGGAAGTGGGCTGAGCAACTGCACAGGGCTCACCGGCTGCCATGGAAGCATGTGGAGAAGGGTCCTGTTAAACGCCTTCCTCTCTTTCCCCTTTCTCTCTAGCAATCAGATGAGCTATTTGTCAGGGTGTCCAAATACACAGCATCCCGGGTTCAGGGCCAATGGCTCGGGACAGCATTCTGGGAAAGGATGCCTCTTGGTCTTGTTTGGAAGAACAGAACACTGTGCTGTGGCATCTGACTCACCTGGCTACCTTCACCATGTTGGGTTTGTATTTCTCAATGCTGTTGAGCAGCGCTTTCATGGTCCTCCCAGTTCCAACAACATCCTTTGCAAAAAACAGAGTTCAACAAAGCAATGTGCACAGCATCCTGTCCTTTTCATTTGCAGAGCTATTCCTTAGTCATAAAATGCACATTAATTTCAAATGCCAACCAACAGGAGTCATCATAGGAAGCAGAGTCAGTCATGTGTTCATGGGCATATCATTTGGAGGCTGGAGACTGTGCTGGTGAATATTATGTTCTTGCATCCTTCAGCTGTGTAGAAGGATTCATTCAGTTCAGCCACTAGAGAGCTGGGCCCTCCCTCACTGAGTGTCCCCAGACTCATGCATGCACAGTCAGGGACTAAATTTGGCCCGGAGGTTACATTTCTTAAAACAAAAGACACATGAATTTTCATGGACATGGGGTGTACATCTGAATACACTGAAAGGATAAACACCTCCTTGGTCTCCCTACTCCTTAGGGGATGCCGTGGCTGGGAGGCTAAATGTGTCTGGGCAGCAGCTGGCGACAGCCAGGAGTCCCAAGCTCCTGGGCTGCCGTGAGCACAGGGTCTCCGCTGCTGATGATCTGTGGATGCACAATTACCCGGAACTGGCGGCTGCAATTTATTGTCCTCCTGACAGAATTCAGCTGCCAGGAGCTGATGATGAACACAACAGGTCTGAGGCTAGCCAGGGTCTGGTGACTCATTTGGCTGGAGGGTCTACTCCCTGAGTTGTGTGGAGCCAGAGCTGTGCATACAGGACACAATGACAAATGTGGAACAAAAGCCTGATGACAAAAAGATCCTCTGGGTTTTTGGTGGCTGATAAGACACCATGCTTCTTGAGGAAGCATGGCTATTTTACTGTGGTACTCTGCTGCAGTCACAAGACAGCCTTTCTGTTTCTCTCGTAACAGAAAAACAAAAACAAAAAAGACCCACCACCACCAAAACCCCATAACTTTCCCTTGGATTGTCATGTTAATTGATGGAATTTATGATTTTTGAAGCTTGTGAAAGGATTAAATCCATTAGAGGTCATTGGGTGAGGAGAATTCTAGCCTTAATTTTCCTGTTAAATAAATAACAATAAATGTATTGACTGGTTCTACAAGCTAGTTTACTCTCTGAACAACTGTTTGGCTCATAAATCCATGCAAGAACAGACTGTGATATATGTGAGATTATATGTAAAACAGGACCAACTACCAAATAGTCATTGTAAAGTGTTGGTTTTAAATTATTTGAATCCAGTGGCTATAGTTGGCTTCTGTTAAACACATTTAAAGACTTGACCAGTATGATAAGCTAGCATTTGAAAACTCACCATTAGATTCTTGTCAGTTCCAATACCAAAAGGAAAGGTCAGCTTACCTCAACAATGAGGACATTCTGGAGGGAAATAAAAAGACAAAAGACCCAATATTTCATAATATGATTTAAAAAAAAAAAAGCTTGGGCCACAAAATAAATGCAAGTTTTATTTATAGTTGGAATTTCATAATGTGCTAAGTAGATCTTCCTTATTCTATAAGTCCAAACAATTAGAGTAAACCTAAGTATCCCAGATTCATTTTAACATCCCTGTGGAAATACCTGATGTTGCAATTTTATTGTCTGTACTCATGTTAGTAGCAGGCTCATGTCAGACCTCCTTGCCTGTTTGAAGCAACTATCCACAAAATTATGACATCTCAATAGTGCCATGTCCTTCTGTCTCCCATCTTTGGGATGCCAAGCTCACCAGCAGGAAAGGCAGCTAACATAAGCTACATCATTAATGAAGTGCAGATGATCATATACTTAAATGTGACAGCCTATTCCTATGTAGCCACCCAAACCCTAGATATATCTGCCCTTGGGTTTTCAACCCTGAAGAAATGGAGTGGGGATGGGTGGGGTGGGTAATTGAAAGAGCTCTGAGGGGCCTGCTCTGTGTTTTACTGACATAGTCAGATCCCTTGCTATATGCTCACTGGCATTCATCGACTTTCCCTTAAGAAACAAATTATATTTCCTCCCAATTTCTTGTTAGATAGTTTCTTCCCCCACTAGACTTTAAACTTCATGTAGTGGGAAATTGTGTTTGTCTTGTTCACTGGTGCATTCCCAGACCATTCTGCATTGCCTGTGTGCAGAAGCAACAATTATTGTCTAAAAGAATGAGGACTGTTAAGCTTATCAATGAAGTAAAATGAAACAATTAATTGGATTAGTAGTAATATGTCAATGCTGCACACCAAATTATGACTATGATAATATACCATTCCAATCACTAACTGGGAAGAATATTCCTTGAAAGTAATAGGGTTTTATTTTAAGCTTTTAAATACTTTTACTCTTTTTTATTTTTGTGGTAATGTGTGTGGGCACATGTGCCAGCTCCCTGATCTTTCATTCATCCTTGATTAAGTAACTGTAATATCAGAACAAACCATTTAATGAATAAAAATATTAACAGTCACCTACCTATACACAAATACTGGTAAAGTTATATTTTACAATCTATGTCAACCATTTCTGGAAGTGCTTTTCTAATATATATATATATATATATATATATATATATATATATATATATATTTTTTTTTTTCTTATTTTACATATCTATCCCAGTTCCTTTCCCTCCCTCCCTTCCTCCCATCCCCTCCTCCACAGGGAGGGTGATGCCTTCCAGGAGGAATCATCAAAATCTGTGGAGTAGGGGTCTAGGCCCTCCCTCCTGTCTCTAGGCTAAGGGAGTATCCCTCCATGGGGAATGTGCTCCCAAAGTCCTTTCGTGTACCAGGGATACATCCTGGTTCCACTGTCAGAGGTCCCGTAGACTGCCCAGGCCTGAGACTCATGTTCAGAGGGTCTGAGTCGGTGCAATGCTGGTTTCGCAGTTATCAGCCTGGAGATCCATGAGTTCCCCCTTGGGTATAACATTCTTATTAAACCTATTTATTAAGAATATTAACTTTCACTTGGGAAGCAGAAGTGGGTCTCTGTGAGTTTGAGGCTAGCCTGGTCTACAAAGTGAGTGCCAAGACTGTTACACAGAGAATCGCTGTCTTGAAGAAAAAAGAATATTAATTTTCTTATCAAGATGAAAGGCTGTATTGTCTACTCTCAAAGCCCTTGTATCATTTCCAGGCTACTGTACATTAATATCATGCATGTGGCTTAGCCCATCAGATACTCTAAAACTCACACTAGCAGGAATCCCTTTAGTGTTTCCAACATGGCTTGCTATGGCCTTTGCCCTCCATCTACAGCACTTAACTTAGACCTGTATTTTCAGTGTGATTGAGGCTTGACCAAACCTAGAACTAAGGAGGATGCTTAGAAAATGCTGGGGTTGATTGAATTTCCTTGTTCACCAAACCTTTTTGGTTCAATTATGTAAACCAATACATTTCCAAAATATGTTGGTATGCATTATTGTCTAATTAAATAGGGAGCCCTGAAAATAATTGTCTGTCTGTCTTCCTCTCTTTCCCCCTCTCCCTCTTCCATTTAGAAACTATGTAAAATAGATGCCATCTTTGAAAAAATTAATCACAATTCCAAGACTGTAAGTAGGAAGTGGGACTTGGATGTGTACTGATTCGGAGATACATTGTCAAAATCATTCCAACATACCTGAAGTTTGAAGGTTTTAAAGAAAAAATGCCACCTTTCCACCTTCCCTCTTCTCTCCCCTCATGCATGTTGCTGTAAGAGGTAGTCACTTTGAACTCCACACTGCCTTCCTGGCTGGAATGCCTCTATTTTTCATACATGCAGATACTGCACATTTCTAAAAATATATGCAGTTAAAAAAAAAAAAAAAAAGACAAACCCTTTTTTGTAAGGCTGAGATTGAATGCATACCAGGCAAATGTTCTAGCCTCCTCCTGATATATTTACCAACATGTCTTATGTAGATAATTTGGTTTTTAATCATACTCAAATCATGTTTGAAAACAGAAAACCTAAACATTTCCCTCTTCATAGCTTCCTTCCCTTCCCTCACCCCCATACACTAGGTAAGCAAGCGCTCTTCCGCCAAGCTGTACCCCAGTCCTGAATTTCCTTAAGTTTTTGATGTGTATTTAACTTTAAAGAATTTAAATATATTTGTGTACTTGAAAACAATATTAAACTTACCATAACATTCTCTATTTTATACAACCAAAATCTCACATCTAACAAAAAATGAAATTCTTAATACCACATAAAGCCAACCACAAGTTCATATGCTTCCAGTTGTCCCTAAAATGGCCTTTGTAATTTGTCTGCTCAATCTAAAACCACACATTGGATTCCACTGTATTTTGAATGTGTTCTCCACAGTTCTTGCATTGAGAAATGAATCACCAGTATACATTAAGGTGAGGCCTGACAGAGGTGATCCAACCATGTGTTCTGCCCTCAAGAACAGAGTGCTGCCATCATTTCAGGAATGAGATAGCTGTCTTAATAGCAGATTGCTATGAACTAGAGAACTACAAGACTGCTCCCAACTAACAATTTGAGCTTCCGTGGAAAGGCTATCATAAATGCCCTTCCCGGAGAGTGAGATCAACAACTAACTTCTCCATGGAGTCCTCAACTAATGCCTGTTGAAAACAGGACCAAACACCCATACATAAACACTGAGTCGAACTAGAACCCAGATGCAGATGGAGAGGACAAGACCATGGGGCAGAAACACATACAGACAGCTTACCTGAACAAGGAGGAGCTAATGGCCACCAGACTGATAGCTGGGAAGCCAGCATGGGACTGACTCAGGCCCCCCTGATTATGGGTCTCAGCCAGAAGGACTGAGCAGTCAAAGAGACCTCAGACAGTGGAGCCAGGATGTATCCCTGGTTCACAAAAGAAGTTTGCCAACATATCCCCCATGGAGGGATAACTGCCTTAATCTAGAGACAGGAGAGAAGCCCTAGTCCCTACTTCACAGTACCTGTCAGATCTACATGACCCCAACTGGATGGCATTCCCCTACATATGGAATTGGGGTGGGGGGATGGGAGGGGAGGGTGTTTAGAGTGCATGTGAGAGGGCAGAGAGGGTAAAAAGGGAGGGAAGAAAGGAGGGAGGGAAGGGAAGGAAGAAGGAAAGAAGATGGAGGACAAAAAAGGAATAATTTTGGCTTATTTCTTTCACTTTCTGTAGCTCATTTTCTTATGAGACATCATCTCCATCTATCTTTAATGATCTGCAATTCTTCCCTAACCGACCTTTCATTAATGTCTACCGCTTTTAATTTGCTCTGAGCAGTCTACTAAAATTCCCACTTTCTGAGTGGGCAACCTTCGGGATTTTTTTCAGAACTCTCTGTGCCTCCAAAACACTTCCCATCTGATAACTGTGATCGCTGAATCTGAGATGTTTGCCAATTACTGTCTTAGTCATCTCCTCACACCTAGCTCACTTCCTCCCAGAAAGCCAGTAAAAATCTGCGGGGGCTGTAGGCAAAAATTCTCTAGTGGCTCTCTAGCCTCTGGTGTGGGGTTTTGTTGCTATTTCAAGGTCTGAGCAAAACCCATCCCATTGAGTGTTCCTAACGAAGAAGGAAGCAAGAAGGTAGGGAAGAATTATGCAAATAGAAACGATTTTTTTTTTTTTTTAATGATGTCTATTCCTACCTTTAACCGTTGAAAACACAAAGCGATCAACACTTGACTGTCTCAACAGCAGCAGCAGGGGTTTGTGGGTGTGGTCACCCTCAGAGGGATTGGCCTGGCAATGGTGGGCTGGAGGGTGGCTGCTGAGGAGTGTGAATATAAATCCCACAGAGAAAGGAATGTCGCTCAGCATTTCATTTTATAACTGACAAAATTGCCAGAGTCATCCATCAGTGGGCATCTCCACTATTGTTCTCAGCCTAGTCAGAGGCAATAAAAAGGAATGGTTTAAACAGTTAAGGCAGCCAAGGTGGTGGTGGGGGGTGAATTTTGGCAAGTTTCAGTGCTTCATTCTGGCATTTGATTGGAAACTTATTTGGGGGTGGGGTGGGGTGCTTGTCCCCTGAAATCTTGCGGGGGGGGGGGACCTGCACAGCTGTTGTCTTCACTGCCAGATCTGGGCCTGCTTCCCTGCCTCTCTGGTTTTCTTTCACCCTTTCAGGGGGTTCTCTTCAACATGAATAGAATCTACCTGCTTTAATGGAGACACACATTTTATGAAGTGCCAGGATTAAATCAACCTGGGGAAGAAGAAAATGAGAGCGAGAGAGTGCTGTGCCGACAGCTTAAAGACACGGAGTAAATGCTTTTAAGCGCCAGAGGTGATTGAACAGAACCGGTGAGGGCTCGGTTTTTTTTTTTTTTTTTTTTTTTTTTGCTCAACAGCAATGACCTATTTAGAACCGTGACTCAGCCAGTCAGCCTCCCTTGAAAGTGAAAGAAGGCAAAGAGGAA